AAATGGATTCGAATAATCCCAATAACATACTCGAGAGACAACATTATATATTATTTAGCATAAATAAAGATTATTAACGGACAATAGAAATATATGAGACGAACAATGACACTAAGCTCTTCAGACCTCACGTTTGAAGATTTAATTATGGTCGAAGCAGATCTAATAACACTACGTCATTATCGTCTGCCATCCATCGGCTCAAGTAAAGATCTTCGAATTCTTGGGAGCGGATTAAAGATCTCCATTGCTTTGAGACGCAGAGGCATACACCCAAGGATTGCAGAGGCAACAGTGACAGAATCTCCATTTGTAGATGTTCAGGAAGTGTATCGAAATTTGGATTCTCCATTCTTGTTCTTCTCTAGTGATATTTTGTGTTTTGAGAGATAGAGACTTACTAAACACACATGTGATATTTATAAGAAAATCTAAGACCTTTGGTTGTTACCAACGATTGTAAGTGGATCACTTTAGCTTAACTTGTTGAGTCGTAAAAACGCGTACATACATCTAAAAAAACAAAAGAAGAAATTTCACCTTTACACATTGAAAACTTACTATAATTATTGGCCAATTAGCATTGAGATCATTGGATACCATGCATGAAAGTGACAGATTTGCTTTAGTACGTAGTTTAGCTCTTCTAATACAACATAATCACACGTCAAAATATAGATAACAAGTTAACATTTTTTTAAAAAAGGTTTCACTTTATTGTTTTTTGTACACAATTTCAAGGCATAAACACGTCAAAACTTACTAATTTCTATGACTGTATAACAGAGAGATATACGCATAACAACTTTAGTTCACATCAAGTCGTCAATCCACAAAATCAATTTAAAACTTACTATAATTATTGGCCAATTAGCATAGAGATTATTGAAATGCCAAGCATGAAATTTTCAGAATTTCTTTCATCGCACACGATTTTGTAGTTAAGTTCTTCGAATATAACTATGTATTATGTCACACATCAAAATATCAACTCTTTTTAATTCTCAATCTTTTCGTTTTTGAAATTTGTATCATTTGATTAAGGAATTTGACTTTAAGATTCTCTCGCAATTGTACAAGTAAAAATGGAAATATTATTGAATATTTTTATTTTATTTTTCTTCAACTAATTATTGATTAATATGAACCAACATAATCACAATGTAAAGCTTGAATATGATTTGAATTATTTTATTATAAAAAGAAAACATGACAATGGGCCTAAAAACAAAGAAGCTCACAAACCAAACGACAAAGGCTATGGTGATGCTGTGCAAGATTTGGATTAGGGCTTCATCATTTAACCAAGGGAGAGTGCAATTTTCTCTGTGTTACGTTCCCACTACTTACTAGTAGTAGTAGTTGTTGTTGTTGAGGATAAAACTCAGCGAAGCTTAAGCTTTGGTTAAGATGTGTATTTACTGATATTCATTGCTTTAAGATTTGAAATCAGATAATGAAATGAGCCTATGAAGACTCTTTGTTGCAACTTTAACCATGTAAGAGTATCAATTTCCAGCAATTGGCAACTGCACTCTCTGTTCTCTCCTTTATCAATTTCCCCATCCTTTATATATATATATATATATATATATATATATATATATATATATATATATATATATATATCTCAAAGTACTCAGGCTGAGAAAATCATTTATTTTGAGTTTAATTTGGCTACTAAGAGGAAAACACTAAGAGCATCATTATAGGTAGTTTCTTAAAGATAGATCTTAGTAATATTTAAATAATTTATTTGTAAAAGTGATTGTTAAGAGATAGTATTTTTCAGTTAAGAGCATCATTATAGGGGGGATGTTAGCTGAATCTTAGGTATTATAGTGATTTAAATTAAATAGTTAATATCTTAATAAGCTAAGGAACGTTCCTTAGCTTAGGAACGTTCCTTAGCTAAGATTAATTTTGAGGGTTAAGAGGTGCCACGTGGGGGCGTTTTGATCGGACGGATTTCACATATTCTACAGATACGCCTTCTAATTTCTTCGATAATAGAGCTCGAGTTTGTGATCGAGGTATGCATCAACAATTGAAGAATGATTTGGTCGAGCATATATGAACAAAATATAGAAGAAATTAAGTTTAAAATATTTGTGAATTATGTTATAAATTGTATCTCATGTATGTTTTAATTTTTTTAATTTGCAACAATTATTAAATTTTCTATAATTATAAATTTTATTTTTATATTAATATTTTTTTTTAAGAACCACATATTAAGAACCTACCATTAATCAGACAAAAATATTATAAGAGGAAAAGAAAGGTTTCCACAACTCTACCGAATATCTATATATACATTTTTGGATCACAATTAGCAAATAAATCATGAAGTTGAGAAGTATTTACAATGGCATGCCATTAACATTAATTATTTAGATTTGTTTTATTTAAGTAAAAATTTTTAAATGAAATTCATTTATCATATATTTAGCAAAAGTCTCTACAAAATCTTTCCTTATCTATTTAAGTAAAGATTTTGAAATCAAATATGTTTTCAACAATTTACCAAAAATCTCTACACAATATTTTTAAAAATCTCGACTTAGTTAAGTTCTGATTTTTATCTGCAAAAAAAAAAATTAATAGTAACGAGTGATGTAAAAATCGGGAATGTTGATACTACAATTTCTTCTACTTTTTTTTTTCATATAATGAAAATTATTTTTTAGGGATATTTTCTCAAAACCTCTAAATAAAACAAAGGGTTTCAAAAGATAGCTTCTTTTTTGGCGGGTCGACCCGCAAACCCGCAACTCTCTACGGGCTTATCCGCATGAATCTGCGACCCGTAGTGGATAAAAATATTATTCAAAAAAATAACAAATGATGTTTGATTTTACGGGACGGAGTTATATGGTGCAACGGGTTTGGATCGATATTAATATTAAACAATATACTATGGATGAAATCCTAGAATTATAAACCAAAATTTAATTATAAAATCAGAAACACTAAACAAAATAAAAAATATTAACAAAACAAATACAACTTAAAATTTTGCTAAATAATTTTTTAGTTATAAAAAAATCGATCCGCGGTGTACCGCGGGGTAAAATCTAGTTAAGTTATTAAAGTTGTACATCTGAATTGATGGAACATTTTGTGGGTTTGCTGACGTCATCTTTTTTAATCCAACGGTTGAAGTTAGTCTTTTTATTAATCTAAGGGCCGTGGTTTTTTCTCGTAAATTAACTAAAGCAAAGGACGTGTCTTTTCAATTGCAACCTTTTGTTCAGGTTCCTTTGTAAAGCATCGCGTCTCCGTCTTCTCAATTCTTACCACCTTTGGTTGTGCTTCTTCATCGTCATTCATACCTATTGAAACCGTGAAACAACATCTGACTTTGTACTCTTTTCTGAATTATTTCATGAATCTCTTCTGAATCCTTTTCAAACAAAAACCGTTAGACTAAGGGGGTGTCATTAGTTTGTTACTTTGTTAATCCATATAGAATTTGAAAATTTCTATTAATTATGAAATCAAGATATATGGATTTTGAAATAACATGTGTTTACCCATGGATTTGAATCCTTCTATTTTTCTCTTTCAATTCCATTCAATTCCATTTAAAACATAATTTGGATTCTCAAATCCAAAAACAAATGACTAAACGAATAACATAAGATTTTAACTAGTATTTATAAATCATAGAACCAATAACACATGAATTTAATTAGGATTTTAAAATCAATGATTGAATAACAAATGATTTTTGTTTGGATTTCTAATTCCATATAAATCTATGAACCAATAACCCCTCCTAAATGGAGTACCAATTTCCGACGCAGTCGATTTTGGCCCACAGAGCCAGCGATCCTCTATTGTACATTCCCTCCCACTTCTAATCGATCACACTTTTTCTAAGTGTGTTTGCCTCTTTTCATAACGATACAATTGCATGGTTGATTTTCTGGGTTTAGGTTTTGTCCATCTTCTTCATTTTTTTTTGGGGTTTGATATAGAACTGAATCCATCGATTTAGAAACGATGAATTGTGTTTTTTTAATCTGATGGCTGAGATGCTTTATTAAAGAGAATTATTGATACTCTCATTTTTAAACCCCTTTGATTAGTAACTCTCTGAATTTTAATCGTTTAACTGGATTTGTAAATCGGCATGAATCAATAATATATCTCCGTTGAAAATGGTTGTCCACCTTTATCATTGTTTTTGTGTCACTCTAACTCGGCAAACCCAGATGTAAGTCTCTTGTCAAAGTTGTTCTTTTTAGATGTCATTGAATAGATATCTAAAGCGGCAGCGTAATTTCGATTTCTTCTTGTGGACATATATAGTGTCACATCATGTATTCAAATCTGTCTATCTTTGAGTGTTGCTGTTTTGATTGATTTTATAGATTCATGACTCATTGAATAATTGAACAGTTTGTTTAGATATTACTAGTTGTTGGTGTTTTGATACATGAATTCTAGAAAAATGATAACTCTTCTATCAACAAATTGAAGTTTCTTATCTTTTCTAAATCCAATCGTCATTAATCTTTGTCATATTAAACTTTTTGTTACTTAATTTTTTATTTCTAGCATGATTATGATTCGTTGAGAATAAGTAAGCCTTCCATATTTGTGGTTGGTTGATCTTGTCACTTCTCAATGTGTAGATTTTATAAATACACCCTTTTTTCTTTTGAATGTTCGATTAGATGTTGAAAAGAAACTGATGCTGCTGCTTTGGGATTGCTTATGTTCTTTAAGTGTGGTAGTTCTGGAAATCTGGTTCATATACTTTTCCGCATTTGGATGATTATTATCCATTTTATTGTTTTTTTTTTAATTTCTATTTGGTTGTTTTCTTCCTCTTAATTAATGTTGCTTCATATGCATCTTTGTTTTGATTTCTCCACTAATTGTGATGTCTAATAAGTTGTTGCACTTATATATATATATATCTTCTTAAACTTGTCATTTTACTCGGGACTGCCTATGCAGCTATGATAGTGAACAACAGTGTGAAACTATAAAACTTCTTTGCAATTTCAAAGTAGATGTGATTAAATAGTCTCATATGACAGATATGGAATTCGATATGATCCGTGTCGATGCAGCAATTACCAATGGTGTCCAAAGGATCTGATAGCTGAGTTGTGTCCAGTATTCCAATTGCCGCAGATTCAAGGCTCTCTGAATATTTATCCGGTATAAAATTATTCAGTGGCGTGTGAACCATCTCCGTAAGCTAATAATTTTTTGTCATGCTTATTTTATCTTATCTATGTGTCTTAGAAAACGATCAGGCAATGTGACATGTCTGAAAGTTGACCAACGTCGTTAAGGTAATACAGATATCTCAAGATAGGAATTTTATTTCTTTTAGTTATAACAAATAAATTGAAATGGTTACCACATGGAAGTGAACTTCTCAACAAATCAGGACGTTCAACCACAAACCCAAAAACTTACACTTTGTTCAGCTGCGCAACCACGATTTCTTCCTTGAATTTGTTGATAATCCTATCACACCGAGCTTTCAAAATATCTTGGTAGCAAAACTCGGCCCTAGGAAGGCATTGTTTCTTTTTATCCTATTCCTCTTAAGTGTACACTTACGACTTTACTTGCGATGAAAGATGAAAGATTTGCATCTTTTTCTATATTTTGCTTGCAGAAAATCGAGCTCGAAGCCCATACGGTTAAGGGCACTGGTATAAAAACATGCAAATTGGTCTTCAGTAGTAACTGCTTTGTATCGAATGCTTCCTGAGGTGAAAAGTTTACCACAATCTATTGTGCTCCCTAATATATTTGCAAGATACAAGCTTTGAGACTCTTCCCTTCATGCATTCCTAACTCCTTCCCTTCACTGAAGTATAAAGCAAACACCTAGCAGAGAACTTGCTGTTTTTTCAATCGCTAGAAGTGTGACTAAAGATGGTCGGTATCACTCATGACTCATATATGGTATTTGGAGGGCTGGCGTTGCTCCACGATCAAGCGTGGAATAAAGCAAAACTTTTGATTTTCATTCGTTTTGCATCTTTGTGTTTTTCTTCTGTTTATTATAGTCTTTGTTAGTAGGGTTACATACACTGAGAAATTTTTTTAGCAGATGAAATATATATATTTTTAAAAATGTCATTTATAACCATGTCTAATAATCATAAAATATGAGGATTTTCTGCTTTCATGTCTTCTTTTATCGATCGTATCATTTGGAATAAGCTAGCAAGTCTAAAAGACACAACAAAAGAGTTTGGGGGTGGTCTAAGAGTTTGGTTTGGTGTTCTTACCAATGTTAACTATTTTAAAATTTTATTTTGCGGTTTCCTAGTTATTATTATTAAAAACATGTAACTATGTAGGCTGAAACAAATGATTTTTTTTTTTTCTTTAAAAGTTTTCTCTCTTACTTTTGATATTATTACCTTTCTCTCGAGTCTCCACCGAACTAATATTCAAAAAAAGACTAAGACTTGTAGTCTATTATTGCACTGTAACAAGAAAAAAGACTTTTAAAAGATGTTTATACTTGTTTTCTTGGAAAATATTTTACCGAATTTAGTTTGATTACAGTTTATTCTATCGCTTCTGCATTGAAAAAATGGTTATTGACTAAAATTAGCTTTAGCTCTTAATATATAAAAGTAAAAAACACGAAAATGATAACGCAAACCTAACATTTCATTATTTTGAGCTATTTACCATATTTAATTTACCAATTGGCAACGTGGCAGTGCTACATTGGCGGCAGAATATTATTTTGTGTTGACACGGTGTGCCGACGTTTTCCTTTCGTCACAGTCAATGTGTCTGTGTCTCGTTCATACTTGCATGTTCAAAGTCTTTTCTTAATCAACCCGTTATAATTGACAATCATAGTATTTAATTAATTAATAGGACATGATGTCACATGTATTGGTTTACTGGTCCTTTTCAAAGTGTAGTTTGAGAGTTGTCGTCAAACATTGACATCTGTTATACGTAATTCTACATAAACGTTACAGTTTGATATTTAGGTTTTACTAGTCATTAGCTCTGTTATTGTTTGCATCTGCTAATTTCCAGCACCATTGATGATTGCCAAACCTAACATCCTATAAAGACTTCCCTTTTGATGGTCAGATAAATATTGATTTGTGTATCTTGTATTTGTGTAGTATATTCTGAGGGATGGCAGATCGATTGACGCGAATCGCTATCGTGAGTGAAGACCGGTGCAAGCCTAAGAAATGTCGCCAGGAGTGCAAGAAGAGCTGTCCTGTTGTCAAGACTGGTACTTTTCTGAGTTTTGAAACTCTTTTCTACATAAAGAACGGGTTTTTATGCCTTGTTTTCTATCTCTAGGGAAACTTTGTATCGAGGTTGCTCCTACTTCCAAGACTGCTTTCTTATCAGAGGAGCTTTGTATTGGATGTGGTATCTGTGTTAAGGTACTTATATATCTTTTTAGAATGAATGGATGAATGTGTCTTCCTCTAGTTTGAGTGAGAATGATTTGTTGGTGCACAATTTTTCAGAAATGCCCCTTTGAAGGTATTCAGATTATCAATCTTCCTAAGGACTTAGCCAAAGATACAACCCATCGATATGGGGCTAATGGATTTAAACTGCACAGGTTAGCTGATCAAAAGTTTTTGCCTTGTGGAATCTGTTTGATAATCTGTATTTAGGGCTCTCATATGTTGTTTCTCGGCTTACAGGCTTCCGGTTCCACGGCCGGGGCAAGTTCTTGGCGTGCGTGGAACCAATGGTAATGGCAAAACTACTGGTCTCAAAATCTGGCCTGCTGGAGACCTCAAGCCAATTTTCGGCAGATTTAATGTAACTATAGACTCTTCGAAGTTTCTTTACCTCTTAGGCATATAAGGCGTCTATTCCGTAATTTTGGTATGATCGAGTATTCTACTACTTCTTGGGCAGACTCCTCCTGACTGGGAAGAAATTTTGACTCACTTCCGCGGGTCAGAACTTCAAAGCTACTTCATCCGAGTCGTAGAAGAGAATCTAAAGGTTAGGGTCCAAACTATTCTTGATATTTATTCTGAAGGAAGCAGCTCACTAAGTGAGTCTGATGCCCCTTGTATGTATGACAGACTGCTATAAAGCCACAACATGTTGACCACATAAAAGAATTTGTTCAAGATAATCTTGGGAAGAAGCTTGAGGAGATGGACGAGAGAGGAATGATGGAAGAGATTTGTGCTGATATGGAGTTGAACCAGGTCTTGGAGCGTGAAGCAAGACAAGTATCTGGTGGAGAGCTGCAGAGGTTTGCGATTGCCGCAGTTTTCGTAAAGAAAGCTGATATATACATGTTTGATGAACCATCTAGCTACCTCGATGTGAGGCAGAGACTCAAAGCTGCTCAAGTTATACGCTCACTCCTCAGGCATGACAGGTTTGTTTTTCTCATCTTCTGAACTCCTTGGTATTGAGTTTATCTTACTGATTAAGATACATGTTGCTTACATGGGCTTCGCCTTTTTGTTGTTGTAGCTACGTAATTGTTGTGGAGCACGACCTCAGCGTCCTTGACTATCTCTCGGATTTCGTGTGCTGTTTGTATGGGAAACCAGGAGCATATGGTGTCGTGACTCTCCCCTTTTCTGTCAGAGAAGGAATCAATGTGTTCTTGGCCGGGTTTATCCCCACAGAAAACTTGCGTTTCAGGGATGAATCTCTGACCTTCAGGGTAAAGCTTTTCCAGTGGCTGACATTTGTGACTGATATAGTTTTTTCTTCTCTCTCCAAGGTTTCTGAGACTACACAAGAGAGTGATGGGGAAGTGAAGTCCTATGCAAGATACAAATACCCATACAATGAGTAAGCGACTTGGAGATTTCAAGCTGG